TAGAATTTTTCTACAATATTTAATTCAACTAAAATTAAATATTTAGCCATCAAAAATTCAGTCAAAACCGGGTCAAACCCAAGTTTTACAACTGATTTTTCCAACAAAAATTCACCGGAAATATTGAAGAAAAACTTGAAATTTTACCTCCCAAGTAATGTGAAAAAAATTTGAAACTACAAATTAATAATATTGAGGGTTGTTGGACAAATAATTCGCAGAGGCAACCTCAACTATCCACAAACAATTATTGGAACATATTAATAAAACACCAACTAAATTTCAAATTAACGCGCTTACCAAGGATAAACAAAATTAGGAAGTACTGAATGCGAAGATGTTACATTATTATTAATAGTAATTCTTATTCCTCAACTTGTTCGTGTTTGGTTGTTTATTGCTTAGAAAAGAATGTAGTGGGCTACCAATACCAATCATAGAGTTGACATTGACATACATATTTAATTAAGCATTGGCCAGACTGTTTTATTCCCTTAAACAAATCAGGAATGAACTGCATCTCACCACTATATAAACCATACATCCTTTCCCTAAACCACACCAAACACACCACTTGAAACCCTTTAGTAGAAAACTTGGGAGCGGCCACAAAATGGGGATTCCGGCAATGATGCGCCGCTGGCGCCAGTTTGCTTTATCGCTCGCGTTTTGTTTGATAGCCACCGGTGTAGTTGCCGATAAACCATACTTTCATGACAAACCTGTCGTCAAACTTCCACAAGAACTACCAAAACCTTGGCACGATGGGATAAATTATCACGGTGATAAACCGCTACCATTTTATCATTATGTCCACAAATCACCTCCCCCACCTAAACCATCACCACCGCCCCCATATATTTACAAATCACCGCCGCCACATTCACCGTCACCACCTCCTCCGTACATATATAAGTCACCACCACCACCGTCGCCTTCTCCTCCCCCACCTTACATTTATAAATCGCCACCACCACCTTCACCATCTCCACCACCTCCATATATTTACAAATCTCCTCCTCCACCATCACGTTCACCACCTTATATTTATAAGTCGCCACCCCCACCGTCGCCATCTCCGCCACCACCATATGTTCACAAGTCGCCTCCACCACCATCTCCATCACCACCACCTCCTTATATCAACAAGTCTCCACCGCCTCCAGCAAAATCTCCTCCTCCACCTTATATTTACAAGTCACCACCTCCACCATCACCATCCCCACCACCTCCTTATATCTACAAGTCTCCGCCGCCTCCAGCTAAATCTCCTCCACCTCCATTTATTTATAAATCCCCACCACCAGCTTCACCATCCCCGCCACCACCATATACCTACAAGTCTCCGCCGCCTCCTGCTAAATCTCCTCCACCTTATATTTATAAGTCACCACCTCCACCATCACCATATCCACCACCACCATATGTTCACAAGTCCCCTCCACCACCATCTCCATCGCCGCCACCTCCTTATATCTACAAGTCTCCACCGTCTCCAACTAAATCTCCTCCTCCACCTTATATTTATAAGTCACCACCTCCACCATCGCCAACTCCACCACCACTATATGTTTACAAGTCCCCTCCACCACCATCTTCATCGTCGCCACCTCCTTATATCTACAAGTCTCCGCCGCCTCCAGCTAAATCTCCTTCACCTCCAATTATTTATAAATCCCCACCACCACCTTCACCATCCCCACCACCACCATATATCTACAAGTCACCGCCGCCTCCAGCTAAATCTCCTCCCCCACCTTATATTTATAAGTCACCACCTCAACCATCACCATCTCCACCACCACCATTTGTTCACAAGTCCCCTCCACCACCATCTCCATCGCCGCCACCTCCTTATATCTACAAGTCTCCACCGCCACCAGCTAAATCTCCTCCTCCACATTATATTTATAAGTCGCCACCTCCACCATCGCCATTCCCACCACCACCATATATCTACAAGTCTCCACCACCCCCACTAAAATCTCCTCCACCACCATATATTTATAAATCACCACCCCCACCTTCACCATCCTCACCACCTCCGTACATTTATAAGTCTCCACCCCCACCATCTTCATCACCACCACCTCCATTTGTTTACAAGTCGCCTCCACCACCATCTCCGTCACCACCACCTCCTTATCTCTACAAGTCCCCGCCACCTCTAGCAAAATCTCCTCCTCCATCTTATATTTATAAATCCCCACCACCACCTTCACCATCCCCACCACCACCATATATCTACAAGTCTCCACCACCTCCATTAAAATCTCCTCCCCCTCCAGTAGTTTATAAATCACCGCCTCCACCTTCACCATCCCCACCACCTCCATACATTTACAAGTCTCCACCCCCACCATCTCCATCACCACCACCTCCTTACATCTACAAGTCCCCGCCACCTCCAACAAAATCTCCTCCACCTCCATATATATATAAATCCCCACCACCACCTTCACCATCCCCACCACCACCATATATCTACAAGTCTCCACCACCTCCACTAAAATCTCCTCCCCCTCCATATATTTATAAATCACCACCCCCACCATCACCATCCCCACCACCTCCGTA